GAGTACCCACTGCACCCTAGTGCCACAGCGCACCCCCTGTCCTGTGCCAAGTGCTGTCTGCAGAGAGACGACTCCTAAGAGGGTCAAGGTGCTGCAGACAGGCTCTCCCTCAGGTTTCCTGGGCTCCCCTGCTGCCTCCTGAGATTCTGGCTAGGGTTCATAGACCTTTGCTGGCTGGGGGGAGTCCCACCAAGCCCCCAGGGCCCAGGTTAACTCACTTTCTCAGCTCCTCAGCAGCCAGTGCAGCTGCCCTGGTGCTGGGCAGCCCTCAGCCTGGGTCTCCTCTCCCTGCTGCTCCTGCTGGCACAAATCATCCTCGTCAGCATCGGCTTGCACTGTGAGTACCTGCTTGCGCCTGAACTCTGGCTGTGGTCTTGGGGTTGGGATCAGCACCATGGGGCCCGTGTACCAACAGACAGAGCTGCAGCTTACCCATGGAGCTGGGCCCTCCTGCATGGGGCTGAGGGCGTTGCAGGTTTCTGGGGCAAGCAGGAAAATTGGTGAGGCAAGACCTCACCTGCCTGGCTGGGAGAGGAAGGTGAGGAGACAGCGTGGGCTTGGGGACTGCGCTGGGGCATCCCGCTCCATCACATGGCAACAAAATGAAGACAGGAGGGAGAGCAGTGACACTGAAACTGAAAGGCAGAAGCACTTTCCCCGAAAGCCTGTTGTGTGGTGGGCTCCCAAAAACCGCAAGGACCTTGGTCGGCTTGGCTGGCAGGTCACCTAAAGGGGAGGACACCCTGAGCCGCAGCCATGGGGCTGTTGTCCCATGGGAGAGGGCACTGGGTGCTGCTGGGAGCAGGAGCCCAGGGTTGGTGGGGAAACTCCTGTACTCTTCTTCTGTAGATTTAGGACAGCAGGCAAGCTGCACCCGTGGTCCCTGGAGCATGGAGGAGAGCCCCATCTGTGGGCAACAGACACAGCGAGGTAGGAGAGCCCAGAGGGCTCCTGGGAGACGTTTGGAGAGTGCCCAGCTGCCCCTTTAAAGAGACAAGATCTGTCCCCATTCCAGAATGTGCCCCCCCTCCCCACTCCCAAGCCTTCCCTCAGCTTTGCTGCCTATGCCCTGGCAAAAAAGCTGCCTCAGAGCTGCTGAAAAGGCTGCACTGCTGGGACCCCTTCAGAAGAGAAGACCCCAGCACAGCTCAGCATTGCCTAGGCACACCACCAGCACCATGAGCTACCATGGGCTGGACGGCATTGGGTGCTCTCTTTTGGCCAGTCTCTGTTGAAGCTGAAATCTTGACTGCGTTCCCTGTGCTTTGCAAATGATGCTGGTATCACATCCCCAAACCTGGACCTCCCCTGCCTGACCACCTTTGTGTAACCAGCTGATCTCCTCTGGGGTCCCGCTGGGGAGTGGGAGATGGGATGTGGGAGCTGGACTCCAGAGTAAGCGCAAGCAGAGGGTCCTCTCTGCAGGGCAGCCACAGGAGTACACTGGGTTGGTTGGTACGCTGCCTGCCCCTTGTCATCCTCCTGTCCCATGCGTGGGGGCTGGTGGCAGCCCCTCCCGGCTGCCCTGTCCTGGCTGCTCCCACAGACTGTATTTTTGGTGCACAGGGCAATGCCAGTTCTGCCCGGCTGGCTGGTTCTGGCATGCGGGGCAGTGCTACTACTTCTCCTCTGCCAGAAAGAGCTGGGAGCAGAGCAGGGAGGACTGCTGCTCCAGAGGGGGACAGCTGGTCACCATCCGAGCCAATGCCACCCTGGTGAGTACACCTAGCCTGGCCTGTCCAGCTCGCTGCAGGCATCGGGCTGTGTTGATGGCCACCTCAAGGTCCTTCAGCAGTCACCTAGCCATCACCAGCATCGTCTCAGATCCCTGGCTCTGGCCATGTGCCCAAAGCCTAGCCAAGCCTCCAGGTGGGGAGCTGGTGATGCTGTGCCTGTCCTGCGCAGCCTCCATCACTAATTGCATGGCTGGGGCTGGGTGTCCCTCTGGGGAACTCATGCAGGTCCGTCCTCTCCTGCACTAGGCTTTCCTGATGCGCACAGCCAACAGGGAGGTCTTCTTCGTGGGGCTGAAGAGGGACAACGCCAGGTCTGACTGGAAGTGGCTGGATGGCACCGCACTGAAGGGGTGAGGCTGTCGGCTTGTCTCTAACCAGGGTTGCTGAGGGTCCAACACCAGGGCCTGAGGAGGTGATGGGCAGGAGGACAGGCAGCTCATTGGCAGGAAGGGATGTAGGAGGAGATCAGGGTGTGTGTCCTAATTGGGAGGAGCAGGGGGAAGGTGAGCTTTGCTCCCACAGCATCTCTGCAGCATCTGGTCCCTGGCTGGAGGAGTTGCTGACGGGATGACCTCAGCCCATCCTGCCCATCCTATCTCAGCCCGCTCTCTCCCTGCAGGCTCTTCCCAATCCAGCGCACCACCAGCTCCTTCCTGGCCTGTGGCAGGGTGTCAGGCTCGGGGCTGTCCAGCGGTTCGTGCGGGGATGCCCTCGGCTGGGTCTGCGAGCAGAGCGCAACCACCCTGCAGTGGCTCCGATCCTCACGCCCTGCCTTCCTCTGGCGAAACACCACCTACACCTGTGTGGGGACCTGGTGACCGTGGGGATGTCCGGCCTGGCTGTCCCACCACCCTGTTCCCTGCCTGACCCCAGCACATGGGCATCTCTGGGCATCACCACCTCCCCTCTCAGACCTCTTTACCCTGTCAGATCTCTGCACTTTGCCAATAAACTCTAGCACTTGGATGCCGTGGCTGGATTTGGAGGATGAGGGTGGTGGGATGGAGGTGCATCCTCCAGCTCACTGACTTGGTCACATCACTGCCCCGTGGGAAGCGGCAGCGCCCGGCGGCATCTGTAAGCCAGCATCAATCCAGGCATCCTCGTGGCCTGGTAGCAGCATGGAGCAGCTCCTGTGCACGCTGAGGCAGGTCCCCACGAAGCTCTGGGCTTTCTGACTGTGGTGGCTGCCTGGGGTTTGTGGTTTTTGGGGAAGTCAGTGGAGAGGTGGGAGGGCTTAGGCTGGGCAGCAGCTTGTCTTCTGGTGCCTGCCCAGTCTGAGGAGCTCACAGCAAACACCCACACTTTGCTCTGAGGCTGAGTGATGTGCAAGAGCCTAAAAGGCGTGCTGGGGCTTGGCTTGGAGGGGTCTGGTTCTGGCAGCTGTTATGATTTAGATATAGACCACCTGGGTTGTGTCAGCAGCATGCAGCTCTGGCATGGATGTCCCTGGCAGTCCCTCCTGGCACACATGGAGTGCCAACCCCCATGGTTGCTGCATCCTGTCTCTCAGGCAGGAGCTGGGATGGGGAAGGTGATGCACCGGGGAGCATGGCCTCGCTGGGGCCAGTATACATGGGTTCTTGGGGCTTCTTGCAGCCTGGGGAGGCAGATGCAAAATGTGTGCCCAGGGTGGAGCTTGTTTGCCCCACCACCCCCAGGAGCCAGAGCAGCCTCACTTTTTGCAAATAAAGCAACTACTTCTGCTTTTCTGCACTTGAAGAAGTGGCTCCACCTGGTGCGGTCTTGGACACAGCCTGCCACCTGAATACAGAGGAGCAGGCAGGACCCAGGCCCTGG